CGTGGCCGCCCGGGCGCTGAGGCGGCTCTGGGGCTGGCTGTCGCCCCGGGCCGACGAGGCTACCAGCGCGGGCAGCGGCGGTCCTGCCGCCGCGGCGGCGCCCGTCGCCGCCCCCGGTGCCGGCGGCGGCGCCGAGCCGGACGAGCCCCCGGCGAGGACGGCGGGGTCCGCGCAGGACGCGTCGCAGGAGGCCGCGCCGCTGGAGAGCGCGGGGCCGCCGCCGGACATCTTGCAGTTCGACGCGGGAGTCTATTTCGTCGAGGAGGAAGAAGGGGCGATGACTCTGGATGTCATGCGCCTTGGCACTATGAGGGGTAAGTGCAGCGTGAAGTACAAGACCGTCGACGGTTCTGCAATAGCGGGGCAAAGGTATGAAGCTGTTCAGGGCGAATTGCATTTCTCCGAAAAGGACACTTGCAAGAGCATCACAATTTCCATCATCGACGATGGCCAGTGGTGCACAACGCTGGAGTTCAGTGTTCTGTTGTACGACCCTGTTGGCTGCGAGCTCGGACGCTATCTGTATACTTCGAGGGTAAAGGTCATCGATGGGGATACTTTCCCCACGAATAGGTTCAACGATGTCATAAAAGAGCATGGCCTTCGGGGACTGACGCAGGGCGACTGCGGTGTCAAGCCCGTGGAGCTGCTCATCGAGTATTTCAAGCTCAACTACAGCAACTTGGCCGTCCAGAGCATGACGATCGCAACGCTGGCGATCGACCAGCTGCAGAACCTGTACTTCCTGCTGACCGTGAACCTGCTCAAGTACGTCGCGGACGACGTGCTGGCCCAGGGGGCGGATCCTGCTGCGTTCCTCGTGCCCAACAGTCTAGAGAGCACGCTAATCTCCGTCGGCGCGCTGTACCTGGTGCCGTACGGGCTCCTGAACGGACTGGACATCTGGAAGTCACAGCTGGGCTTGCCAGAGGTCTCCAAGGCTTACCTGAGGCAGAACATGTTCCGAAAGTTCATGAACTACGATGCGGACTCCAGGGGCAAAGTTCCGTCCAGCGAGCGCGTCTTGGCGATGACCTCGGACATCGACGACATAGTCGAGTCTGGCTACATGAAGGCGTTGGAGATCGTGAAGATAACGGGAAAGCTTGGCGTGTCGTCGTTTTTCATCTTGCAGGAGAACCCTGATGGGTTGGGACCCATAGCTTTCTTTACGTTAGCAACCCTGGCTTTCGTCGCCGTAAATGGAGACGAGAGTGTCAGAGTCCAGGAAGCCATCTCGAAGCAGGAGGGCCGCATGGTCGCCACCGTGCAGGACTCTGCTGCGAAGTATCGCCTCATCGCCGATTACCTCATGCGTCCGAAGATCCAGGACGAACTCGAGCGAAATGTGCATGAGCTGAGCAAGGCAAGCATCCCTGCGCAAACGCTGGAGTGCGTGAACGAGTACTACCCTGGCTGGCTTGCGAATGTCCTGACCGCGGCTTACATCATCTATGGCGGGCAGCAGGTTGTCCAGGGCGACCTCCAGATCGGAGCTTTCCTGGCCACCAGCGGGGTCATCAAGGACGTGGGCGAGGGCTTCAAGGACATCTTTACATCGCTGATCAGCATCTCGAAGGCAGTCGAACCCATCCAGGACATGACGGTCTTCATGAATCTGCCGACCGACCTCCGCAGCAACAAAAGGGTCAACAGGCAGCGCCGGAGCAGGACGAAGCTGGAGCGCTCGCCGGACCGGCTGGCAGAGCTGCGCCGTCGCACGGGCACGCAGTTCCCCACGGACGCCATCCCCATTAGCGTCGACGGCGTGTCGTTTTCGTATCCCGGCGCCACCGCACCAGCAATCGAGCGCTTCCAGGTGAGCGTGCCGCAGGGGAAGCTGGTGGCCGTCGTGGGGCCCCGCCGCGAGGGCAAGTCGACGGTCCTGCGGCTGCTTGGGCTTGTGGAGACCCCCTCGGAGGGGGAGATCTTCGTGCCGGCGCACCTCCGCATCCTGCACGTCTCGCAGATCCCGATGCTGCTCGACGCACCCCCGTGGGAGAACCTGGCGGTCGGAAGGCGGTACTGGAAAGACGCTGAGTTCGAATCGCTGAGGGTGATCAAGATCTGCAAGCGCCTGGGGCTCCAGCCCGCACTGGTTCAGCACCTCGAGGACACAAGGCTGGAGTTCCTGGCGCACGGCCGAACCCCGTTGTGGAAGGAGCGGTGGCAGGAGTCCCTCAGCAGCAGCGACGCGACTCTCTGCCACATCGGCCGCGCCTTTATCTACAACCCTGAGGTGCTCGTCATCCACAGGCCGACCCTGCTGCTGTCGGACTCCGCCGCCGAGACCGTGCTGGGGATGCTGCGCGAGTTCGTGGACCGCCGCGGGGTCGAGCTGCCGCCGGACGCGAGCGGCAGGAGGCGGCCCCGCACCGCCTTTGCGAGCTTCACGCAGTCTCGGGGTGTGGAGCTGGCCGACGTCGTGTGGGGCGTCAGCCGGGGCGTCGTCTCCGAGATACCGAAGTCGGCCGTCACGGACCTGCTGATCGCCTGATGGCGCCACGTCCAGTATTATATCCCCGTCGCGCGAGAGGCCGCTCGGCAGAAGTGCTGAAGTAGGGTCTGCAGATCGGTGGCGCGGGCTGCTGGATAATGGCCCTGGCGCGCGCTAACAAGACACGTGCCGACAGAGGGCTTGTGGTGGTTCTGATCTCCGCGGAGCGGCCATGCACCGAGGTAGGCGCAAGCGTAGGAGCGCGTTGTTTCGCGTCTGACCTATTCCCTCCGACGGCTCGCCGCGCGCTCTCGCCGTGATCGCCTGCGCCACATGGAGCCCGCGCCGCGCTCGGCATGGCGCTCTTGAGCAGCCGTTCACGGCGGCACGTCCGCGGCACCGCACCCAGTACTATGCATTTTTCTGATCTGGTGCCAGCGGCGTGCACGCAGTCGCTTTGCAGTTCCTTTTTTCTGCCGTCTTTTCTCGCTCGGCTCAGTAGTGGTGGTGGAGTGTCAGCGGCGTGTTCCTGTGTCAGGGCCCCAGAGGCCGTACTTCGAGTTGCCGCGAGGCTTCTATGCACAGCCAGAAGCAGCGGGCTCTGGTGGCAGTGCTGAAAGAGACATTGTCCAAATTTTCCTGGTGCTCAACGGCCTTTACTACCCAGAGCGCTGCCGCTCTCCAGAGGCTGCGCTTTGAGAGCATGCCCAGTCTTGTTGCCGCACAAGTCCGCCGTGGCGCTATGCCGCGCTCGGGGAAGCTCATCAGAAGAGGCTGACGGTCGAATCAGGGGATGCAGTATTGTAGACAAGCGTATCTGCACTCCGATTTGCGCCTGGCCTCTTCTGTGTTGTTCGATTTGGTCGGCAATCACGTCACTGAGCGCTCGTTGATGCTTTGCGCTCGGTGTTCTTTTTTCTCGCGCGGAGTGTCGAATCCTCGAGCCGGCATGGCGCGAATCTATGAAGTCTCGTGATTGCGCCGCGCGGCCGGCAGTGGAGCTGCGCGGCCGGCGGGGCGTCCGTGCCCGGGCGCCCGGACCTCGGGGTGCCTGGCGGCCCGGCGTCGCACCGCAGGCGCGACGGCGGATGCCGGGCGTGCTTGGAGGGAGGCGGAGCGATGGGGCTGGGGAACGGGCCCAGCTGGACGCTCCCGTTGCACGCGCTCCCTTCTTCCAGGGGCCGTCCAGAGCGATGTTCCTTCCATCCCCACCTGTGCCCCAACTCCACCTTTGTGCCCCCCCCAATTGGACGGCCCCCTATTTGACGCCCCCGATCTGTGTCCTCTGCCAGCGGGCTTCGCCGGATGGTGACAGAGAGGTGCGGGCCCATTGGGCGCTCCCCGTCGCTGCCGCCATGGGCCACGGTCGCGACGACGTGCGCCGCCTTGGGATGCGATGCCCCCGGGAGAGACGCACCAAAAAAAAAAAAAAAGTGATCTGCGTATGACGTACCTCCGCTGGGCCTCCCAGGAACCCACGAACGTGGCGACAGTTGCGCAGGTCGCAGTCCCGCAGGGGACAGGGAGGCCTCAAAGCGATCTGCGTATGACGTACCTCCGCTGGGCCTCCCAGGAACCCACGAAAGTGGCGACAGTTGCGGAGATCGCAGCCCCGCAGGGGACAGGGAGGCCTCAAAGTGATCTGCGTATGACGTACCTCCGCTGGGCCTCACAGGAACCCACGAAAGTGGCGACAGTTGCGCAGATCGCAGCCCCGCAGGGGACAGGGCGGCCTCAACGTGATCTGCGTATGACGTGCCTCCGCTGGGCCTCCCGGGAACCCACGAAAGTGGCGACAGTTGCGCAGATTGCAGCCCCGCAGGGGACAGGGAGGCCTCAAAGTGATCTGCGTATGACGTACCTCCGCTGGGCCTCCCAGGAACCAACGAACGTGGCGACAGTTGCGCAGATCGCAGCCCCGCAGGGGACAGGGAGGCCTCAAAGTGATCTGCGTATGACGTACCTCCGCTGGGCCTCCCGGGAACCCACGAACGTGGCGACAGTTGCGCAGATCGCAGCCCCGCAGGGCACCGCGAACACAGGAGAGAAGGAGGATGAGAGGGCGGGAGGTGGATACCGCAGCGCTCTATTCAAAACGAGTACCCAACACAGGGAGGGTTGGGAAAAAGTATCCCCACCATCCCATCCAGAAACGATTTGCAGACGAGTTGTCGTGAGAGGGGCAGTGGAAGTGTGCGTGAAGCTGGGAGGCGAGACGCTTTTCAAATCGAAGCGAGGATGAACCCGTGCAGCATCCAATATTGGCCCTCTGGGGGCCTCTTGGAGACGTCTTGGTCCATCTTGGATTTTCTCTTGGGCTCATGGATAAAATTATCCTATGGGTTGCCCCTTTGGAGTCCAAACAAGGGTCTCTTGGGACCTGATTCGGCCCATGCGGGCTCTCTTGGGGTGCTCCCGGAGGCCTTGCGAGGAATCTCGAGGCCTTCCTCAGCCTCTCTTGGGCCCTTCTTGGGCCACCATACCGAGGCCCCAGAAGTTCTTCGGGAGCGAACCTGCGAGACGCCAGTAACCTAACAACTTGATGTGTTCCGCTGGTTGTGGCACCTCATGGGGCACCCTCGCCAGGCTCCGTGGCGACATCGGACGGTGCTGTGACACCACTGGGGCCTCTTGGGCCGCAGCCGTCTTGGCTCAGGACTGTCTGGCTCCAGCTGGGCCTTCGCTACCTGAAGCACACCCGCGCACTCAGCGTGCATCGCACACCTTCCCTTCGGATCACCTGTCCCGCAGATGGCCCGCCTCTTCTTCGTTGCCAGTCTCGTCGGGGCGCTCGGGGCCGCTGGCCTGCGCGCGCCGCCCGCCGACTGCAGCATGATGCAGGTTGGAGCAGCGGTGGGCAAGGGCAACGCCTCGCAGCAGGCAGCGGCTGCAGCGCCGGCTGCAACGCCCACTTGTGAGCAGAGTCTTCCCGACAGCTCGCCAACTAAGGAATGGGCGTTCAAGACGACCAGCCCTCTCCAAAATCTTGACGGCAGCACGAAGCACACGAAGGTGGTCATGGCGGTGAGGTCGAGCATCCTTGCCGATTCGGAAGGCGTGTTGTTCGAAGTCGGTGGCGGTGTTGGAGGAGGCTTTATGGGCATCGTGAAGAGAGGCTCTGATTATTATTTCAAGATCCAGGTCGGCGGCGGCCATGCAACGGATGTGAGTGCGTGGTCTGCAGCAGTAATATTGCGAAAGTTGCCTGATGCTAAGATTCCGACGGACGGCGACATGCACCAAATTGTTTGGTCCATTGATCCAGCTGCCGCGTCGCTCAAAGTTTGCATCGACGGGCAAGAATTGTCCGCGACGGCCCCCTTTGGGCAATTAATGCCTGCATATGGGCCCGACCTGTGGTCTGGAAGTGACGCGGGTGGGTTCGGTGTTTCCACATGAGGTATTACTGGCCAAGCATTGGCGACGCAGGTTGAGTGGCAAGGCCAAGTGGAAGGCAACCTGCAAGTCTGGGAAAATGGTCACTACACGTGTGTTTGCGACCAGGCAGCCCCGTCCCCGACGCCAGCTCCAACGGCAGCTCCAACGCCAGCTCCGACGCCAGCTCCGACGACGGCTCCGACGGCGGCTCCGACGTCGGCCCCAGCGGGCGGAGCAGGCGCCGGGGCTTCGGCCGTTGGAGATCCCCACTTGCGAAACATCCATGGCGAGCGTTTCGACCTGATGACGGCGGGCAAGCACGTTCTGATCGATATCCCTCGTGGAGTGAGTGCTGGAAACGCCTTGCTGCGTGTGCAGGCCGATGCGCGCCGGTTGGGTGGACAATGCGCGGACATGTACTTCCAGCAGATCAACGTTTCTGGTTCTTGGGCAGAGGCCAAGCAAGCTGGAGGGCTTCATTACAGTGTATCGCAACATGACGTTCAGACTCCAGAGCGGGCTGCTTTCGGCAAGGTCGAGCTGAAAGTCGTTCAGGGGCGCACGGACAGCGGCCTCCTTTATTTGAACTTGTACGTGAAGCATTTGGGGCGAGCGGGATTCGCAGTTGGAGGGCTACTCGGGGACGACGATCATGAGGACGTGAGCGCCGCGCCAGATTCATGCGCGCAGCGCTTGGCCCTCGTCGCGGGAACGCGCGGCGGCGGAGGCCCAGAGATGGTTTCGGTTGCAGTAGCAAGCCTCGTTTGACCTTGACGGCGTGGTCGCTGCTATAAGTTATAAATTCGAGCGCTGGTCCCAGCAGCCGCCGCTGTCTATCGCCGGTTAGGCCCTCCCTGCGGGGCCAGCTTTTGGTCGCATCGTTTCCCCCCCCTCGCCGTCCTCTCTTTGGGGCCGCGGGCGTTCCAACCCGCTCGCGTGAGCCGGCCAAGGCAGGCTCGAGCCCTCGCTTCTGTGCGCTAGAATCTGGGAAAAAGACTTACTGGGGCCTCTTGGAGGCCTTTAAGAGGCCATGCGTGAACTAATGTAGACCCTCTTGCGCGATCTTGTAGGCCACCGCTGGACTCGCCTCGAAATCCTGGTCAGGACGCGCCCCGGGAGAGGTCCGGGGAGTAGCGGTATCGGTATCTTGTGTCTTCAGAGGCAACGATAGGGGGATAGGCATAGGGGGGAATGCATCAACCCCCAACAATCGCCAATTGATCGTCGATCGGGGCCCTAACGCCGATCTATCGGCGATGTATCGCCGATTCCATGTCCTGTGCCTGCCCGAGGTTCGCCGCCTTGCCGGTGCAGCGCAGACAATCTGAGGGGTGGGAGGACTTGAAGTGTGACGGGCGGCTCGCGCCAGAAGCCCTTGATATCTTGGCGACTCAATGTTTTGAGCTGGGCGTGTTCGTCAGATTGCGGGCCCTGGAACCCTCACGGATCGATCTGGCTGGAAACGGGGATGCAATGGGATGTAGGAGGATGCAAGGGGAGGTACGAGGATGCAAGGGGAGGTAGGAGGAGGTAGGAGGAGGTGGGAACGATAGGAGGAGGTAGAAATAGCCTCGTCCTCCTCCTTTTCCTCGTCCCCCTCATCTTCCTCATCCTCATCAGCCTCATTATCCTCATTCTCTTCCTCCTACCCCTCGTCCGACCGTGGCGACGAGGATGGCCGCCGAAGGCCTTCGAGGCTCGAGGATCGAACCTCGACGCACGACCGCCGGAAACCCGAGTTACACACTGACATCCGACGGATTTCACGTCGAGTAAACCTCGTACCTCGATGATCGCCTCGAACCTCGAGCCTCGAGGATCGCTTCCTCCTGATCCTAATCAGAATCCCCTTTGGGAGCAGAACCAAAGAAAACCATTGGGAAAACCAAAAAAGGGGGGGGGGGAAACAAGCAAACAAAGTAGTAGAAAACAATGTTTCGCAAGGGTTCGCCTGGCTGTCTGTATTCTCCTAGAACGTTGCATTTTTTGTTTTCTGTTTTTTGCTGTTTTTTGTTATCCCAATGGTGTGTTGCTTTCTGGGGAAGCCGAGAGATCAAAGGAAGGAGGGGAGGAGGAGGAGGAGGAGGAGGAAGAGGAGGAAGATGAAGAGAGAGGTGGAAGGAGGGGAGAGAGAGACGGAAAGTGAAGAAGGAAAGGGGGAGGAGGAAGAGGGAGGAGGTGAGAGAGAGGCTTCATGGATCAAACATGTAAATCGCTTGCGGCCGAAAACGAACCGAAACCCTTACCTCATACCTCCTACGTCCTCCCACCTCCGCATACCCCCTCCTACCTTGTCCTACCCCTTCATTCTCCCACATCCTCAAGATTCCCGCTGCCTCTTCCTACCTCGTCCTACCTCGTCCTACATCCTTTTATCTCACCCTACTTCCTCTTACCTCATCCTACCTCTTCATCATTGTCACTGTCGTCGTCATCCTCGTACTCGCCATCGTCATCGTCGCCGTCATCATCATTTCCACCGCCATCATCATGATCATCGTCAGCGTCACCAGTTGCCGTGGCCATCGTCGTCGTCGTGGTCGTGGTTGTCGTCGTCTTCGCCCCCCATAATCATCCCTCCTCGTTATCCTCTAGTTCTCATCCTAGGCCCCCCGCCCACCAGGGCATTCCTTTGGGCAGTTTCCTTGCCCTTGGCGGGTTGGCAGGTCGACGATCATGACGACGGCGATTATGATACTGACCATGATGATGATGACGACGCTGATGCTGATTATGACGATTCAGATAATGGTGATGATGGTGATGATGGTGTTGGAGACGACGACCATGACGAGGAGCTAAGATGACAGAAGACGTCTAGCTCAGTCCCACCCGCCCTCCCAACACATAAGCAACACCCAAGCCTCAGCATGTTCAGCGGTCGTCTTTAAATGGACAGCTACTGGGAACCAACACTGAGCCCATGCGCGCGACGCTGAGGGCAGGTGCGCCACGCGTGCCAGGCGCGCCACGCGCGCCAGGCACCCTTGGGGCCCGAGCGTGCCAGAAACGCATGGTGCGCCAGATGCGCCACGTGCCTCCGCAAGCGCCAGGTGTGCCGCATACTCCAGCCGCGCCAGGTGCGCCACGATCGGGGCAGATGCAGAGTCTGCCAGGTGCGCCTGCGCACGTGACAGCACACATCGGGAAACATGTCCCCACACCATCCATATCGAATACCAATGCCCAGCATTGTGTCTGGTGGGCCTGCGCACAGCAGGCCATTCGCCACCACCTGACAGTGATCGCAGGGTGGCCGCGCAGGGTCCAGATTTAGCCGCGAGGTACATTTCGTATCGTTTTTTTGAGGGGGGGGGGCAGGGGGGCAGCCTTGCGCGCAGCAGGCAAGATGTAGACACCCTTGCCGTCCCTTTTCAAACAATCACGAATATGACTCCAGACTTTGTTCCAAAGTGTATTCTGTATTGTTTCTGGACAGGGATGGTGGATGGGGGGGCCCTCATGAGGTAAACAGATTCGCAATAGTAAGCCCTGTAGTTTCTCAAATTCTATCAAGGAAATGTGTGTCGAGAGGCAGCCCCGCAGGGGACAGGGAGGCCTCAACGTGATCTGCGTATGGCGTATCTCCGCTGGGCCTCCCAGGAACCCACGAAAGTGGCGACAGTTGCACAGATCGCAGCCCCGCAGGGGACAGGGAGGCCTCAAAGTGATCTGCGTATGACGTACCTCCGCTAGGCCTCCCAGGAACAAACGAACGTGGCGACAGTTGCGCAGATCGCAGCCCCGCAGGGGACATGGAGGCCTCAACGTGATCTGCGTATGACGTACCTCCGCTAGGCCTCCCAGGAACCCACGAAAGTGGCGACAGTTGCGCAGATCGCAGCCCCGCAGGGGACAAGGAGGCCTCAACGTGATCTGCGTATGACGTACCTCCGCTGGGCCTCCCAGGAACCCACGAAAGTGGCGACAGTTGCGCAGATCGCAGCCCCGCAGGGGACAGGGAGGCCTCAAAGTGATCTGCGTATGACGTACCTCCGCTGGGCCTCCCAGGAACCCACGAACGTGGCGACAGTTGCGCAGATCGCAGCCCCCGCAGGGGACAGGGAGGCCAACTGATCTGCGTATGACGTACCTCCGCTGGGCCTCCCAGGCACCCACGAATGGCGACAGTTCGCAATCGCAGCCCCGCAGGGGACAGGGCGGCCTCAACGTGATCTGCGTATGACGTGCCTCCGCTGGGCCTCCCGGGAACCCACGAAAGTGGCGACAGTTGCGCAGATCGCAGCCCCGCAGGGGACAGGGAGGCCTCAACGTGATCTGCGTATGACGTACCTCCGTTGGGCATCCCAGGAACCCACGAGCGTGGCGTCAGTTGCGCAGATCGCAGGTTCGCAGGTGACAGGGAGGCCTCAACGTGATCTGCGTATGACGTACCCCCGCTGTGCCTCCCAGGAACCCACGAAAGTGGCGACAGTTGCGCAGATCGCAGCCCCGCAGGGGACATAGCGGCCTCAAGGTGATCTGCGTATGACGCACCCCCGCTGGGCTGCCTTCCCAGGAACCCACGAAAGTGGCGACAGTTGCGCAGATCGCAGCCCCGCAGGGGACAGGGAGGCCTCAACGTGATCTGCGTATGACGTACCTCCGCTGGGCCTCCCAGGAACCCACGAAATCGGCGACAGTTGCGCAGATCGCAGCCCCGCAGTGGACAGGGAGGCATCACCGTGATCTGCGTATGACGTGTTTCCGCTGGGCCTCCCAGGAACCCACGAAAGTGGCAACAGTTGCGCAGATCGCAGCCCCGCAGGGGACAGGGAGGCCTCAACGTGATCTGCGTATGACGTACCTCCGCTGGGCCTCCCAGGAACCCACGAAAGTGGCGACAGTTGCGCAGATCGCAGCCCCGCAGGTGACAGGGAGGCCTCACAGTGATCTGCGTATGACGTACCTCCGCTGGGCCTCCCAGGAACCCACGAAATCGGCGACAGTTGCGCAGATCGCAGCCCCGCAGGGGACAGGGAGGCCTCAACGTGATCTGCGTATGACGTACCTCCGCTGGGCCTCCCAGGAACCCAC